ATTCAGAGGCCTACCTCTGAGGTCCTTTGGCCTTGGAGGTGGGACTCTGAACACCATGTCAGGTGCCTCTCCGAGGTGGCAAATCCGCCTTGCAGAGCACGAAAAGGGGTGTGTTCAGGGCTGGAGGAGGCAGGCCGGGGCTGGTGGCTTACACCATATCCAGACAGCACCCCAGTCTACTTCCTTCCTCCTCTGCAGTACTTCATCCTGACAGCCATCTATGGGTCAGAGCCTTACTTGCCTTAAGCATGATGGGCATTGGATTGTGCCCTTAGGAGCTGCCATTTTATACATTACTCTCCCAGAACACATCAATAGATGATGTTCATGTGAGTTGTACATCCTCATTCCACACCATTTATTGGTGTCATTTTTATATCACCCAATAGCCAAGGCTCTCTAGATATCCCGCCAAGGGAAAATTCTGCCCCATGGGAAGCTGCACATGTGCCCCAAAGGTAAAATTCTGACATCTCCTCCAAGGGAAAGTTCCTTCTTTATACTGCTATCTTCATCCCACTTCTCTGCAGCAAGACGTTCCAGAGGTTTAGCGTATCCCCAGGTTTGGTTTCATTTAGAAGGAGGTCACTGGAGGCATTTGGTATTACAAATATATATGTTGAGCATAGGTGGAGCTTATCTAGAGCCAGTCATCATTCTGGTTCCTGACTCCAAGCAGAGCAGAGCACATCAAAGCAAGCTGCCCCAGCTGGTCTAGGGCCTCTAGGATACAAGCATCCAAGTTCCCAGCGAGCAAGCAACCAGAGCGTGCAAATAGGGAGAGCCAACAGGAGTTTGGCAGGGGAGGTCCCTAACATTCTTTTCCCGTTTTGCTCCTCTTCCTTATTTTCACCTTAAATCCCCTTGGGATTTGCATTGTGGTGGCACGAACAATGCACCAAGAAGACTCCACAGTGGCACCCTGCAACAACCGCAACTGCTGCACACTCATGCCCCTGTTACAGGAAAAAGTGAGAGCACTGGAGCAGCGAGTGCCCACCCTCTGGACAATAAAAGAAAATGAAGTTTCTGGACAGAGCGGAGGAGCTGCAAACTGTAGGTGTAGTCCAGAAGGAAGAAGAGCAACTGCAAGCATAGCAGGCAGAAGAGAACCCTGAGAGAAGGGAAAAAGAGAAAACTCATTGGAACAGGGTTACAGTTAGATGCAGAAGAGCTAGAAAACACTGCACTTGTGGAAGCAGTGGAACTCTCGAACCGCTTCGAGTTACTTAAGAAAGAGACGTGTGAGAAACCCACTGTAAAAGAACCACACAACACACTAAATAACTCTTTTTCAGAGACAAAAGGCCAGTCAAACAAGGAAAAGGACAGCAAAATTCGCAAGAAAAGGAGAAGAGTGCTAGTTGTGGGAGATTCCCTCTTGCGTGGAATGGAAAAATATGTATGTTGTGATGTCCTAGAGAATCGCCAAGTTTGCTGTCTCCCTGGCACCAAGGAACCAGCAAGTTCACACAACTTGTACAACCCACTGACAAATACACCTTCCACGTGGGAACTAACGACACTGCCAGGAGAAAAGTTTCTAACCAACTCAGAAAAATGATAAAAGAAGTTTATCCTTTGCCATGGCAACACACCCATAAGGGGAAAGGTGTCCAAGAGGGATGGGAAATCTTGAAAAGGAAGATCCTCGAAGCACAACTATGAACAATTCCATCAAGACAAAAGTGTAGAAGACAGCAGAGAAAGCCAGTGTGGCTCCACAAAGGGTTAAGTGACAGCCTGAAAGAAAAAAAAGAACAAGTACAGGAAGTGGAAGCAGGGCCATAAAAGAAGAATATAAACAGATAGCAAGGAATTGGTTCAGGAAGGCTAAACAGAAAAGGAACTAAGAATAGCAAGGGATGCTAAGCACAACAAGAAAGCTTTCTTCAGATACATCCAGAACAAAAGACATAAGAAAGAGAAGGGTGTCCAGCTGGATGGCAGAGTGATAACAGATGACAAAGAAAAGGCAGAGGCGCTCAGTTCCTACTTTGCTTCAGTCTTCTCTCACAAGGAAATCTGCAATCAAGAGGAAGTTCAAGCTGGAAGTGAGAGATGGCAGCCCAAGACTGACAGACAAATGGCCAAGGAGTATCTAGATGGAATCAACACATTCAAATCTTCTGGGCCGAATGAACTCCATCCCAGAGTCATATAAGAGCTTGTGGAGGAACTCTCAGAACCACTGTCTATCATCTTCGATAAATCTTGGAAAACAGAAGTGCCAGATGATTGGAGAAGAGCTAACGTTGTCCCTATCTTCAAAAAGGGGAAAAAGATGAACCTGGGAACTATAGACCAGGTAGTCTGACAGCAATCCCTGGAAAAAATCTGGAGCAAATTATTTAAAAATTCATCTGCAAGCATCTTGAAGAAAATGCAATACCAATTAAACCCAGCATGGATTTATCAAAACTAAATCCTGCCAGACTAATTTAATCTCATTTTTTGACTGGGTAACTTCCCAAATGGACAAAGGGAACACTGTGGACATAATCTACCTAGACTTTAGCAAAGCTTTTGACATAGTGTCACATGACATTCTGATAAGCAAATTAGTAAAAACTGAACTAGATGGAAAAACTATTAGGTGGATCCAAAATTTGCTGCTAAATCAGTCACAAAGAGTGCTCATCAATGGCACCTTCTCAGATTGGATGGAGGTAACTAGTGGGGTGCCACAGGGTTTAGTGCTGTTCAACATTTTTATTAATGATTTAGATGAGGAAGTAAAAGGAAAGATAATAAAACTCGCAGATGATACAAAACTGGATGGAATAGCAAACACCCCAGAAGACAGAATGAAGTTCCAGGGCAATCTTGATAAACTTGAACATTGCGCTGAAACCAATATTCTAATTTCATTACAGAATGAAGTTCAGTAAGGACAAGTGCCAAGTCTTCCACCTAGGAAAAAGAAACCAAAGGCATCGATACAAGATGTTGCTTAACAGAACTGAGCAAGAAAAAGATCTTAGAGTAATTGTGAACAATAGGCTAAACACGAGCCAACAATGCAATGCAGCTGTCAAAAGGGCAAATGCTATTTTGGGAGGCATTAACAGAAGTATTACTTCCAAATCATGAGAAGTAGTAGTTCTTCTATACTGCCCACTAGTCAGACCTCACCTGGAATACTGTGTCCAGTTCTGGGCACCAAGATTTAAGAAAGATGCAGGTAAATTAGAAAGGATCCAGTGGAGGGCAATAAACATGATCCAGGGTTTGGAAACACTGCCCTGTGAGGAGAGACTAAGGAAACTGGGCATGTTCAGCACTGAGAAGAGAAGCCTGAGGGGGGACATGACATCCCTCTATAAGTACCTCAAAGGCTCTCAGAAAGAGGAAGGTCAAGATCTCTTCTTGCTAATGCCAGAATGTAGGACATGGAAAAATCAAGTTGCAGCAACCCAGATTCAGGCTGGACATCAGGAAAAGCTTTCTCACAGTCAGAGCAATACAACAGTGGAACCAGCTACCTAGAGAGGTGGTGGGTTTTCCCACACTGGAGACATCCAAAAAGAACCTGGGCAGCCATTTGAGTGGGAAGGTATAACATAGTGTCCTGCAACAGCAGCGGGTTGGACTCAGTGGCCTTCATGGCCCCTTCCAACTCTTCTATGATTCTAAAGACCCCCCCCCCCCAGCACAAGGTTACCTAGAGTCTAGGTCCTAGACTATTGATATATTTTCAAGGTAGGATCTTTCAGATGTGTTGAACTACGACTCACAGCATTCTTTGGCTATGCTGACTGAGCATGACAGCAGCTGTAGTCCAATCCACCTGCAGGATTCCAGTTTAGGGAAGGCTGCCATATACAATCTTTTGTTAGAGTGGTTATTAAGGAATCTCTACCAGTTCATCTAGCACCTTATCCAAACCTCAGTCTTGCAATAATATGATCTTCAGAAGTTGTAGCAACAAGATAAGCATCCCTCAACCAACCACACACACACACATTCAAGAGACATCTGTTAGTTAAACAGAGAGCCTCATGTTTGCAACTGGATAATTACATCACTCTCATTAATGCAGCTCAAATCTTCTCACCAGGGGGAAAGAAGCCATCTCACCTGTAGGACTCAGCATACTCTGGTACCTTTCAAAAGAAGAGAAGGTGCTCTTGCTTTGCCTTAGAACAACTAACATGGAGTAGAATGGGGTGAGATATCATTACATCTATAAGGCAGCAGTGGGGACCATTCTCTTGGTGGTTTCCTGACTTTTCTACAGCTTTGTCCTGATTCTAAAAGGTCGAGCGCTAACCTCTCCTAAAGCTTAGTTACTGTTAATGACATTCTGAAAGCTACAACATGCTAGTATTCTTTTGTATTTTGGTCCCACTCTTTCACCTTTAGCCCTGCCCATCAATGGGATGCTACCCCTCACAAGCTTCTGAAAAACTGAATCTGGCTCTTGGGGTGAGAGATGTTCCTGCCTTGCAATCCACCAAGCCAAAGAAAGCTCACCACCATTGTGCTCTGAGTCACTGGGTGCTGGTCAGCTCCCTCTCCCCCATTTTTGCAGTAAAAACTGGAAGTGGTGCTCCTGTGGGTACTGGATTAGGTTTGCCTTGATGAATGATTTGCATACTCTTAAGAATATGTTATTCCATGACATAGATCATTGATAGATTGGACGGACGGACAGATGGATTTGGCAAAAGAGGCAAGCCTCTTTAAACAGTAAGACATACATTCACAAACATACATGCTTTACATATTCACCTTAGCTCACAAATAGGTGCACCTCCCTTTTATTCTGCTTTGGTTCCATTCCTTATTCTTCCCAGACATCTTTCCATGCAAATCTGCAGAGAACAGGACAACACGAGCGCTGCTTGGACACACCATTTTTCTCACTCCCAGAATTTAAAAATGATTCAGCCATTGCTTAGTTGGTTGGCTGAGCCCCCTTCCCCTGTCATTTCCACTGTCTTCCATTTGGACTCCCATAAGGATGTTGGGTCCTTTAATTATTCCAACTTCCAGTTTTAGTCCTTAATCTTGCTTTGATCAAAGACAGCATCAACAGATGTGAGGCTGACTTCTGATTCCTCTTTTATCCCATAGTACATAGTGTCATCTTCCATATTCTGTCTGGTTCGGTGTTCCAATAGCCCAGCTCCTGCTGTAATTAAGGAGCCATGACCTGTTGTGGGAGGAGCAGGGCAATGGCTTTGGATTGGTGCCACTGTTGGTTCATTGCTCTGTTCCTGACCTTCAACCAGCAGGGAATCAATCATGGCAAAATCTTCATAGGAAGGAAGTTTGAATCTGAGCTGACTTTCTGTTGAACACCCGGGATCTGGAGCATCTTTCCACCTCTGTAGAAATGGGCTGTTGGAATTAGATGCCACTGAAGAATTGTCCATTTCTTCCTGGAGAGAAGCTAGTGGTGCCTGGCTTGGAACTCTCTCAGGTTGGCTGGAATTTTAAAAAAAAGTTGAAGATTCATTAAGGAACATGATTCCCAAGGCTGCTTATGGAGCTCTTTTGTCCTTCAGCTGGGGAATTTACACCAATGAAACCGGCTGCATGCCAGGCAAGCACCAGGGCATTTTTGGTTTCAGTATGGCCAGTATTTATTTTTATTCATTTGCATCTAGGTCTAGATTAAATATTGTTGGCCATACCAGTCCAGTACCAATTTTTGATTTGCAAGCCATGAGAAATAAGAGGTTTCACCTAGAGAGCACAATAGCATTGGATGATATGACTGTATTGGAGTTAAAAGCTGCAGTTCTTCTTCTGTTTAGCTCAGCTGAAAGCCAAATCAATGTTCCCGACATTTCCTCCCTCCATCCTCTACTATGGAAGTACACTGGCTTTTTTCTCACAGAAGGCCAAATTCCATTTCAGACAAGCCTTCAGGGGCTGGATTTCAATGGTGGGTAAGACCAAAGGCAAAAGGAATAAGATCAATATTCCTGAAAATGCCAGTATATTTTAATTTAAAAGTCTTGCTGCAGGTAACTCAGTCTTAGGAGAGACAGTTCTACCTTTTGAAATGAAGAAAAACTGCAGAAGAACTAAGAAACAAGCCTTCTGCACATTGTCTCAACTGAGGCTGGAAGAAGAATCCACTGCACTTGAAGGCACCAGCCCCGTTTCGACTATGGAGGCTAACTTTGTCCCTATGATAGAAACCAGTCTCTTGCCCCGAAGGGCAATTGGGTCAACTTCCAGCAAGGTGTCGTCTCCCATACATGGTTCCAGCCAAGGTGGAAATTAACCTTGGGCACAAGCCCTGTGTGTGCAAGGAGGGAGTCTCCGATAGCCACAGTGAATGAAATCAGTCAGCGATTGTAGCTGTCGGGGGAGCCTCAGTCCCCTTTGCCGTGTCCCTCAGACACCACCTGAAGGAATAAGGAGAAGAAAAGGGAGGAAGGCAGCTAACGACCCACAGGGAGCCCAATCATCTGTCGGGCTCATCATGGGTACTGCGTGAAACAACCGACAGGTTGTGTTGTGTGAACTCAGCCTGCACAGCAATCACTGAAGATGAAACTTGGAACTAACATGTTAGAATCTAGGCCACAATTTTGCACCTTGAATCAAGCTCAGTGAAAAGTTCGGTGAAATCCTGCACATCATGAAGCCACCAGTTGCCCAACAAAATATTGAAAGCCAGTGGCTAGGTTGTTGGCCATGAAGTTCACTGGGTAATTTTGGGCCAGGTATTCACTGCTAGCCTAGCCTACCTCACATAATTGTTGAGAGGATAAAATGGAGAGGAGGGAAAAGTGTATGCAAGCTATCTTGAGAATAATATCTCACTGATCTATGAGCTAACTTTTACTATGACTATAAACTTGTGTCTGGGGTGCAGCACTTCACAGTACCGGTATGGGGTGCTCGCATGATGGAATACTTCCCCGCAAAAAAGGGAGGAAAAAGCATTTGTCTGCACGGAAAATTAGCATGTGAAGCAGAAGGCTAGAGCCTTTCTCTCTGATATCTAATATTATATCTAAATTGGTTTTTTTTAACTAGAGAAGCATCCAGTCATGTGAGCCCCCTGCTACAGAATGAAATAATAAAACCCCAGCAGCAGTTTGCCAATGCAGGGAATTACAGTCTATTTTTCTCTTTCCAGGAATAGTTACTTTCTACCAATAGTTTCAGTCATCATTTACAGAAACCTTTAAAACCAAAGAAAAAACCTTTCTCATTCACAGTTATTTCCAATTTTACCACCACTTCCCAGATTTTGCAGTTCACTAGCATCTCTAGGACAATCCACAATTTTGCTATAAAGCCAGGAAGTTTCCAGCCTACAGATTATTTTCAGTTAGATGTGCCTGACAGTTTCTTTTTGTCTTTTGTTTTCTCTTAAGTGTGGACAGATAGTTTTCTGCACCTGAGAAATCCTGCTATTGTTAAGACTTCAGACTCATATCCGAAAAAATTGATCAGTGTTGCTTGCAAAGTCAGAGCATTTATTTATTTATTTATTTATTTATTTATATCCTGCCTTTTTCCTACAAAGGGCTCAAGGCAGCTCACATCATTCTCCCCCTCCATCTTATCCCCACAACAACAACCCTGTGAGGTAGGTTGGGCTGAGAGTCTGTGACTGGCCCAAAGTCACCCAGTTGGCTCCATGGCTGAGCGGAGACTAGAACCCAGGTCTTCTGAGTCCCAGTCCCATGCTCTTAACCACGACACCACACTGGCTCTCCAAGAGTAAACCTGCTTGTCTTTGTAACTAGCTGAGACTGAGAAGCATGAATAAATGCACCCTTGGCAAATATCTTCAGGGCTGAGGGCAGAATTAAGCTAGCTCTGAATAGCTCTTCCCTAAGCCAGTGCCTTTTAGACCTGTTGGATCACAAATCCCATGGTGCTATGCCATGTTGGCCAGGCAGGATGGGGTTGCAGTCCAACACATCTGGAAGGCACAAAATTATTTCAGAGAATACATATCTGGGGTTTCGGTACCAAAGAGCAATGTGTTCCATGCGATTGTATAAAATAGATCCAAGGCCTTGCATTCCGCTTCTGGGCTCACTTTTCATTTCTGGCTGAAGTCAGGGAGACACGGGAATTGGTGCTACTGTTGCTGTGACAAACCCTTAAGGAGTGGGACCAATCAAATGTGCACTGAGCTTGTGTTATTTCTGTTGTGCCAGAAGAATCCAGGGACTGTAAAGTACTAAAATGATGAAACATTTTCTGCAGTTCTAAAGTCCATGATGGGTCTTTTAAAATTTTTAGAAATTACAGGAGGCACCAGAGTGATGTGATATGTATGTATGAGGTAGGAAGGTAGGTAGACAGGTAGGTACTGAGAGTCACTGTGCTGTAGTGGTTAAGAGCACAGGACTGGGACTCAGGAGATCTGGGTTCTAATCCCCACTTGGCCATGGAGCCAGCTGGGTGACTTTGGGCCAGTCGCAAACTCTCAGCTCCACCTGCCTCACAGGGTTGTTGTTAGGATAAGATTGAGAGGGGGTAATTATGTAAAAAGCCTTGAGTTTTTGGAAGGAAAAAAGGCAGGATAGAAATGTAATCTAAGAGGTAAAGTGGCCATCAGGTGTTAGATGGTGTACAATGTAGACCAAACCCAGGGCAGATCAGAAGAGCGACTCACCGGTACAACCTTGTTGCTTCCTGCTGGGATGTGGGACCCTTGGAGGTACCTCCATCGCTTTCTGAATCTCTGTGAACCTCTACTTTGGCCTGTACGGTAGGTTGGGAACCTCCTCCTACCCTGACTGGAAGGACAGGGGTGGGTGGGCCTCCCAGTCCCCCTCCAGCACTTGCCACCTTTGCTTGGACCTGTTCATAAGATGGCAGACTTTTCTCATAGACATCTGCTTCTTTCTGAGTGGTGTAAGGTGCCTGTGAACTGTAAAAATACAGGAGAAAGTGGAGCATCATTTCACCAGATTAGTTACCATTTCCTCTTTTTTTCTTTTTTCTTTTTTTGGTATTAGCAAGGATGGGGAAAAGGAATCTAATTATTTGCTGATTCAGAAGTTTCGGGAACTTCAGAACACCTGGTATTTTCTGGTCAATTTAACTTCAGCTTCAGTTTGAACATTTAATTACCTTGCAGTTTGTTTCTGGATTGGACTTGTCAGGCCTACTTTTGTAACCTGCCTTCCATTCCCACCTGGCTGACTGAAGAAAGTAGCAAACAGAACTCATCATTCTAATACCCTTGGGGTTACCATATATGCATTGTTGCCAGAAAAAAGGAAAGACATTACAAAATAAAAAAGACATGGACATGCATAAACATTTCCATATAATGACACACATGTGCAGATGCAATTCAGGAACAATTCCCAAATTTAAATAGAAATGTAAGACATCTCACGATGGCAAGGAAGACCTTAGGAGCTACTTAGGCAGCTGAGTGCCGCCTGTTACAGATGGACAACTTTAAGGACCTGCCTCTAGCTTCACTGGGTTCTTTATCTTTCAGTGGAACTTGGACAAGGCAGCCCTTCAGGCAGAAGACTGCCCTTGGAAGAGCACATGGGTTTTCCCTCCCATTGCATGGAAATTCCTCCGCTGAGTGACACCCTTCACTTGAAGGAAAGATGAACAGTATAAGCCAGTTTGCATGACATTCCATGCTCACTGTGGATTAACGCCTTGCCCCCAAGATCTGCAAGAGCCATTTTGAATATGCAGTCCCTGGTTGGGCCAATTGGAAGGCTGCTGTGTCATGCAAACCTACAACAAACCAGGAGTTATATGGGAGCTGTTTAACTCTCAAATGATCCATGGTGGCCAGGTTTGCATGACACAGCAACCCACCTTCATGGTCATCCTGATCAGATATTGCATAAGCCAGTTTGCATGACATTCCATGCTCACTGTGGATTAACGCCTTGCCCCCAAGATCTGCAAGAGCCATTTTGAATATGCAGTCCCTGGTTGGGCCAATTGGAAGGCTGCTGTGTCATGCAAACCTACAACAAACCAGGAGTTATATGGGAGCTGTTTAACTCTCAAATGATCCATGGTGGCCAGGTTTGCATGACACAGCAACCCACCTTCATGGTCATCCTGATCAGATATTGCATATACAAAATTGTCCTCAGCACATGCTGTGGTTCAGAGGGAGTTAAACAAACCATGATGAGCCCAACATGTCATACAGACCAGAGGCTGAAGCTAGGCTAGGCTATGCACCACTAATCTGGAACTCAGAACAAGCTCTTCAGTTATGACCATTCTCAGCTGGAGTCCAAATATTTGCTAAAACTACCTGTTAGCTGGGTTCACGCATAACAAGCCATGGTGGTTTCCACTGCATATGGTCTGTCATGTTGTTTGAACCCTGCCATGGACTTACCACATGGCACATTTAGTTTCTGTGGAGAAACAATAGTCTGTGGTTTGGTTTCTGCATCTCACCATGACTTTTTCAGTCACCTGAACCCAGAAATGCAGTTCCCACAAGGCTACCATACAGTCTGGTCCAAAGAGCAGCAACTGCTGGTCTCACTGCATTAAATGTCTTAAATCAGGGACAGTGTTGCTTTCTGAAGCTCATTATGGTACACTTTCTGGCAGTGGACCATGCCATTACTCCTGCTCAATATTGAAATGTACTGCTTTGAGGAAGGGGAGTCTTGGCTATATGCTGGAAAGGGGAGATGGAGATGGATTCTTTTTCTTTTGTATAATTTTATCTTGACCAGCCAGTTGCACTGGTGTGGAGGCAAGGCTCCCAGGGATGAACCACTGGGGATTTTTGATCAGCAGGGTTGATCCTTCAAGTTTCTCTGCTCTCTCCAAGCTTGGCTGCCTTCAAATCCCCATCATAGTTTGCAGGAGGAAGGACAATAGATTTTCCCAGCCACAATAAGTTTCTGTGAGCTACCCCTGTTGTAATGCAAAGTATTTGGGGGTAGTTGATCTTGAAAGGCAGTGAAGACCCCTTAGCTTTACAAACACCCTGCTCTCCTGTGGAGGTAAAAACTGCCAGAACTGGTTTGTTGCGAGGTATGAACCAAATTGATGGTTTCATGTGTAAGGTTAAATTCATGGTTTATGTTCTGCATAGATGGAAATCATCTTGAAGATGGAAAAACAGAAAATACCATGTACTTTGGGACTATTTGCCCTAATTCTGGTTTGTTTTTCTTCCAGTCATTTTACCAGCCTTCATCCTGTTCATTATTAGGCTGATCTTGCCACCCTGTCTCAGGGCAGAGTGTAGCACAAACAGGTCAAAGATGAGCTGCTGTTCAGAGTCCAGTCATCAGAACAAGCCAGGATTTAAACAAGCCAGACTTCATAAGCCAAGAACAAAAGATGGCATCTATTTGTGATCCATATTGGGTCAACTAGCTAACAATAGCATGGTATGCAAATATGCCATGCTTCTCACTACTCTGTGTTGGTGTTTCCAAACGTCGACCTTGTCCCTCTGAAGAACACAGTTTATTCTGTGCACTGATTAGTGTTCTTGCTAAAAAAGATTAACAACTGTTGACTTGAAGCTTATGGGCTTGGAGTCCTCAGACATACCTGCTCTTCTCAGGAATCTCATTTTCAGTAGACAAAGCAGCAGTCTTCTTTACAAGGAAAGTCTCAGTCTCTGGATCAACAGAAACTACTCTGACCTGTGGTGGAAAGTAGGGGCATTAAGGGAGATCCTTCACTGAGCAAAGACGGGGAAATGTCACCTCTAGGGATGTGAGATAAGACATGACTCCGCACATAGCTGTACGCTCGACAGACATTCAACCTTCAGGGGTAGCATTATTGGCCCAAGACCCTTATTTTTGCAGGGAATCTGCTGCCAGCCCTCGGGGCTCCTAGCCATGCCACACTTCCTACTCACTTTCACTCCCCGTGGAGCTGAGAATGCAAGTGGAGGCAAGAGGGAGGTGAGGAAAGGGCACCCCTCCTTTGCCATGCCGTCTCCTTTGGGCAGGGGTGTGCGATGGGCCGAGAGAGAGAGGGCAGATGAAAGGAAAGCAGTGATTGTGGTGTGGCGCAGGTCCCCACCACTAGCTGAGGTCTGAAGGCATCCTGTGCCAGAAGGAGAAAATGACATGGGGGAAAGTGTTGAGCACCACCTCCCCATATCCCTATGTGCACCCGTGCGTGAGCCCACACACACGCACACACTGCAGTGCTAATCAAAATTGCAGCCCCACACACACAGCATTTCATTGACAAGGGAAATGTACGGTATCATTTTACTCTCAGCTACACGGTTCACAAGGTGATCCATCTTGGGCAAAGTCCTTCCCTGAGAGGGGATGCAAGGATCAAACCTTGCTCTGAGTTCCCCTGGGGCAAAGGCAGGATGGAAATGCACACATTTTTTAAAAAATAAATATTCATTTTGCTTTTACATTCCAAACTGCACTTTCAAATTCTAGACAGGAGGAAGCTGTAATTCTAGCAGATGATTCAAGGCTTCCTTCCTTGGTCTTTCCACATTTTCCACTGCACTGTGCACCCCAGTTCTAATACCTACCCTATTCTTGTGGCATCTGTAAGGAAATGGATATATAAAGTCATTCATCCATGGATCAGTTACCAATGACTATTTTGTGAGTAGTTTCATCTGCCTTTTCATACTTGGTGACAACAGAAGCAACTCTGGAAAGACTAATGAGCTCTGTAAAGATCTGCCAGCACAATCACTTCCATTCCTGCAGCCTCCAAGAGCCCAGAAAGAGTCTTCAGCAGCCTGAGTTGTACACATGCATGCACAAAGGAATTCTGGAAGGCAGCCTTAAGAACCAAGATTGCTCCCTACCTTGGGGTAGCACTGGCACATGCTCCAGACGATCCCCACAGCTATGATCAAGATCCCCAGGGTGCAGAAGGTGATGTAGATGTGGGGCTTCTCCACGCTCATGATGAACATGCCAACCATCACCAGGAAGAATCCCAGGATGATGAGTCCGTAGCGAAAGGTTTTCTCTTCAGCCATTGAGATCCACAGACAAACACCCCAGGTGGAGAAATTGGGAGAAAAAGCTGAACTAATTGATGGAAGAAAGTTGCACTGGAAGCTTGGGAGGGGGTGAGACTAGGAAGGCTGGGCAGCCCTTCCCCAGACAGTAGTCCTCACGCAGGCAGGCACCACGCCGGGCAAGGAGCTGCTCAGAGGCAACAAAGGGACAATAGTCAGCTGCACCTTCCAACCAGTCCTGCCCAGGTCTGAGCCAGCCAGCTTTTAATGGGTTTGTAATGAATGCAAACAAGATATTTAAATTCACACTCCAGTAACACTGCCTGGGGACGCTCCACAATAACCTTCCCTCTGGGCACAGCCGGGAATGCTTCCCTGAGAGCCTGTGGGTAGGGGAGGGCGTTTTGGGATCCGCCTAGAGGCAGAGCTCATTCGCCAGGTTATGTCCGAGGGAAACTGGCGAACTGGGAAACACACCGATCCCACAGCAAGCCAAGGGAGAATGGTCTGCTTCACATTTCAGCCCTGCACACAAGAGGTGTCTTGGCTCTGATGCAGAGGATTCCAGAGTCAGTCCCCGGCTTTCCCAGGCAGAGTTGGAAACACCTGCATAAAGTCCTGGAGATCCAGTGCCAGTCAGAGTCAACACCACTGGGTGGGACAGACCAAGTATCTGACGCAGGAAAAAGCAATCCCTGTGTTAACTGTAAGGTTACCTGTAAAAATGTGTTCCCTCTTTGTACAATATTGGACTGTCAAATCATGACATCATCTTTTTGCAAGAGGGGTATAATTGCACTGATTTATTCATTATCATTTATATATACTTAGCATATCTCTCAAATGCCCCTCAGTAAGAGGATTCCATAGTGATAATACAAAAAAGGTTAATAGCAAACAGTCCACACAAACATGTTTAACTTGGCCTCCAGGCTTTGGAGAATGAAATGAGCTGCCACATTAAGAAACCACTTTTGCAAAGGTGTCATTCCAACTCGGCTCATGCTTGGCTCATTCAGGTCCCTGCAAAGGCAGCTGCATTGCTTTCACAGAAGCAAGTGCTGCTGAACGAGGTACATGATTGAGAGTCGTTACATAGCACAACCTTTCCCAACCTGGCATCCTTCAGATATACAGGGCTGGCGAAGAATAAAAAAAAATTAACCCCATCGTGCGTATGAGTAGGTAACTATTAAATTATTACTATTACATTATATTTCTATACTGCCTGTAGCCAAAGGTCTCTGGGCCATTCACAACACTTAAGTCACACATCCAGATTTCAACCAGGCTTGACCCTGCTTAGCTTCCAAGATGAGGCAGGATGGGACACTTCACCCTTCAACCCGTGTTCTCACAATGATCCATTACAGATTCTTTCTGCAAGCTTCAGACTTTTCAGGTACAACCTCTGTATGTTCAGGCAAGTTGGGAGTTATCAGCCTCTTTTCTGTCTAGACATACCGAGAACTCAGCCTTTAACTAGCCTGAATAGTAAGCTAAAATGTGGTTCTAGGGTGGAAGTTTTCTCCCATCTATCCAAGATAGGTTTGGGGTTTTTCAGGAATATTCATTCTGTCATGTTTTAGCCTATGATTGATTGATTCAGGATTTAATGAAATCACTGATAACCTCTTTCCCAACTGAGAATCAAATCAGGCATTACTTTGTTATATTCTTTGTTTTGTTCTGTTCTTCCTGTGTTCATTTTTAATGTTCTAACCAGGTGAATTTGAATGGAGGAACAAGGATTCATAAGTCCCCTGATTTACTTGTTTTCTTATCCTTTCCCCTCAGCAGGCTAATATTATTTTCTTTTTTTTTAAAAAATATATATTTTATCCTCTCCCCACCTGCACCCCCACCCCAGATTCCCAAATAGTTATGACTCTTTCAGAGTTGCAGAAGCAAAAGGGTTGGGGAAGGTTGCCATCTAGTGGTTTTTTTTTAATGCAAAGGCTTTTCTTGGTACTGGGGAAAGCCCGACCAGTGGAACAGTAAACTGCAATCTTTCAGAAACAGTTGTTCACAAAAGAATGTGTTGCTAAATCTACTTTTCTTCCTCCTGCTTATCCTTTCTCCAGTTTTTCAAGTACCTATTCAGGCTTCTATCTGATTAGCAACCTACAGTTATTGAAGAACATTATGTGACTTGGTCACACCATATCTTTAGGGTTGCAGAGGCTTTCACTTTAATTACCATCTCCAAGTGAAAATATCATTATAAATAGTGCAAACTTCTCCAGCAATGCAAACATTTGCATATGTACTCGCTAAAACTTTGCTTAGTGGAGCTTACTCCCAACTTGGTGCATACACGGTTGCAAGCTAACAAGAACAAATCTTAAGGGGAGGTTATGTTTACTGATGCCACTGGATTTCATACTGAAAACTCATGAGTTGATAATGTTAACCTTTGTAGCAAGGTTAGATCACTGACTTACGAATGTGTTCTTAATTTCAGAAAGGATTCAGAGCATGCACAGTCTGTAGTATTTCTGTGCATGTGCTGAGTTGCTTTGTTAATTTCAGGAGGATATGTGATGTCACTTTAACCCCTTAGAAAAAGGTTGGCATTTGGATTCTTTCCACATGCTAATCATGATCAAAAAAGCAAACCCACAGATTGCATACACTGCCAAATAATGGTCCATCTCTCTCTCCTCCACATGCTGACCCCTGACAGCAAATAAAAAATGTGTTGAAAGGCTGCTTGGAAAAAACCAAAAATGGAGGTATATAACAAACATAGTGGCACAGGTTATGCTTCACTTCCAGACTACAGCTCCCAAGATGCAGTGTGATATTGTGCACGCACGAAACTAATATACACAGAAGGAGATCTCAGAGGAAAGATAACTCTCATTTGAGATCACATGGCTGGATGTGTTACTTCCTGAGGATCCATTTGGGATAAGCTTGCTCATGAATAGTCACACTCTGTGTTCATTGACTTACCTAGTGCCAGCATATGTCTTAACCAGCAGCAACAGTCCTACAAATGTTAATAGATCAGTTGTCACCACCAGCAGTTTCTGCAATGAATTTCAGAATTCATTTACAATTCTGCTTTACAATTCTTTCCTATCTCCATATCCATATGTACTGTATAAAAAACCTGAAACTCTTGATAATATTCCATGCAGCTGATGAAGTGGATGGCTGATGGCTGATGCCAGTGTGTGTGTGTGTGTGTGTGTGTGTATTGCGTGTTACAAAAACAAAATGAAACCACAATTTAAAGGGAAAAAAATGAAATTAACTAAAACATTACAGTTTGGGGGATAAGATTTAGTAAGACCCATAACACTAGTTAAATATATATTATATGTCCATGTATTAGTACATAACAGGGCATACTGCCATTATTAAAAATAATTGCTCATACATTTCAACAAAGGCAGCCCAAATACCCATATATTTTTGCATTTGTAGATTCCACCTGAAGACCTACTGTTCAAAAATTGAAAATTTCATGAAAGTTTTCACCAACTGTATTATTGCAGTTTGGCCTTTATCTTTCCCATACTGTAGTATTCATTGTTTAGCTATCAAAACCAGGTGAAAATGTAGAAATAGAGCAAGTCAGAAGGGGTCTCCCAGGCCATCTAGTCTGACCCCCAGCCGGCTCCACTCACAACATGCCTACCATGTGCATGTCCAACCTATCCTTGAACACCGTCACTGATGGGGACTCAACCACCTCCTGTGGAAGCCCATTCCATACCCTCAGGGTCCTAAGTGTCAGGAAGAATTACCTGGCATCCAAATGGAACCTTGGCTCCCTGAGCTTTGCTCCGTTGGAGCGCGTCCTGCCTTCCTCTGCAGGGGAGAACAGGCCTTTACCCATTTCCATGTGCCATCCCCTCACATACCTGTATGTGAATCAGATTCCCATGGAGTCTCCTCTTCTCCAGGCTGAAAAGACCCAGTTCCCTCAGTCTCACCTCATACAGCTTTTCCTGCAAACCGGCCACCATCCTTGTGGCCCTACAATGCACTGACTCTGACCTGGCTATATCCTACCTGTAATGAGGGGCCCAGAACTGAACACAGTACTCCAGCTGCGGGAGCACCACAGTCGTATAGGGTGGTAGTGATACCCCTCTTGATCTAGAAGCCACGCTTCTGGCTATGCAACCAAGGGTGGCATTCACCCCCTTGACCACCGCATGACACTGCGGACTCATGCTTAGCCTGCAGTTTTGTGTTGACCAAATTGAAAAGTTTGTGTTGACCTTGCAGTAAATTCCAAGATATGGGTAAAAGATTCAAAAAGATATGTGTATCATTAAGTATTAAAGAACCTTACATCAGAAGATTTGTCCAAATTATTACCTCCTCCCAAAACAAAGCTGCCCATGGGCTTTGCCTTAACACATGAAGAAGAGAAGCATTAGCAGCAATACACCTCCAGCAATTGCCCAATTTTATCAAGCTCTTCTCAGAGAGAGAGTGTGCTGCCCAGGATACTTGAAACATCAACTTTGGCTGAATTAAGCATATCCTAAGATCCATGACCCTTGTGAAATAGATAATATTGGAGCACTCCATCAACTGGGGTGCTATAGTTCTGTGTACCACGTTTATTCATGGATAATAAATGTTTACCTACATGAATTGCGTGCTGATATAGCTCACCTTCAGTCAAGTCATCCAATAACATCTGTTTGTTTTTAAGACTTTTTACTGTTTTACTGAACAGAGACATGGATCTTGCTCCAGTAGTCCCTGGCCAGCCCACCACTAGGAGTCATTGGCTTGGATCCAGCTTGTTCTTGCTGTGTACAGAAGGGCTCCTTTTGTCCACAGAGGGCGCTAGGATCCCGTGGAGATCCTTCCCTAGAGGAAGGAGGCTGGGAGGTGATCTTTGCCCATTCACTTTTCTCCCCCGCAGCCCCCTGCTTGGCTTCCCCTGCTGCTCTGGTGTCATAGCAGGCTGCAGGGGGAAGGAGGAATACAGAACATCGCCTCCTGGTCTCCTTCGTCTAGTGCGCACCGAACTCTGCTAAGCAGTG